TGTTCAGAATGTGTAGTTTTACTAGTTCACTAGCTAATAAAAAAACTTGTAATCGTTCAAAAATGTGTAAGTGTTCAATAATTCAATGTTGTATATAAAAATGGTTATTTATATTTTAACATTATATTATGCATTTATATTATTTTACGAACAAATCTAAATTAACACATAAAAATATATATATTTTTTAATGTAGTGACACAATTTTGCGTCGTGATGACGTCATCACGCAATGACATCACAACGTCATTTAGCAACAAATCGCACTTCCTTTAGCAACTTCCCTTGAAAATGAGTTGGCAACACTGGTACAGAGTACACTCTCTGGCTTTGTTCTTGCAGAACATGGCGGCTGTGCCGAATCCTATGCCAACTTTTAAACCAATTATAAAGTTGCAGTTATGATATTTACCACTTCTAAAACAAAATGCATGCCAGCTACTCACCAGTTTTCTCTTTAATTTCGCACAGGACGCTGAATAAAGCCGGTTTCATCTGATGACAGTTTAAAGCGTGTTTTCTGTCACAAAATAACAAACAAAAGTCAAGTTAGCTAACATTAGCATGCCACCGAATAAAAATGGTTATTTATATTTTAACATTATATTATGCATTTATATTATTTTACGAACAAATCTAAATTAACACATAAAAATATATATTTTTTTTAATGTAGTGACACAATTTTGCGTCGTGATGACGTCATCACACAATGACATCACAACGTCATTTAGCAACAAATCGCACTTCCTTTAGCAACTTCCCTTGAAAATGAGTTGGCAACACTCTCTGGCTTTGTTCTTGCAGAACATGGCGGCTGTGCCGAATCCTATGCCAACTTTTAAACCAATTATAAAGTTCACTTCCTTTAGCAACTTCCCTTGAAAATGAGTTGGCAACACTGGTACAGAGTACACTCTCTGGCTTTGTTCTTGCAGAACATGGCGGCTGTGCCGAATCCTATGCCAACTTTTAAACCAATTATAAAGTTGCAGTTATGATATTTACCACTTCTAAAACAAAATGCATGCCAGCTACTCACCAGTTTTCTCTTTAATTTCGCACAGGACGCTGAATAAAGCCGGTTTCATCTGATGACAGTTTAAAGCGTGTTTTCTGTCACAAAATAACAAACAAAAGTCAAGTTAGCTAACATTAGCATGCCACCGATGTAACCGTGGGCAGTGTTGGGGGTAACGCATTACAAGTAACGCGAGTTACGTAATCAGATTACTTTTTTCAAGTGACTAGTAAAGTAACGCATTACTTTTTTAATTTACAAGAAAATATCTGAGTAACTTTTTCAAAAAAGTAACGCCAGTTACTTTGTTTTCCCCGTTATTGACTGACAGCTCTCCTGTCCCCATATTGGGAGAAATCGGAAGTGCAGAGGAATTGTGTGCGCTGTGTGAACATGATGTTACTGTAGTTCTAGACTAAATGTGAATGTGCATTAATTCATCCCACTCACAAAAAACTGATTTAGTATTCATCAAAATGAATTAAAACAGTGAAATGCAAACTCAGAATATGACGCAAACCTGCAATAATTAAATATGTTAAATAACACAAATGTATCTAATCCCATTTTATTAACTAATGTCTTTGCTGCTGACCTTTGATGATCCAGTTCAACCATACTAAGCAAAAATGACTTTAGATAAACTAACAATTGTGCTTTTTTGTTTTTTTATTGCTGAAGAGTGTTTCTTCTCCTGTGTTCTACTGTACAGACGTGAATTTACTTTTCCTCCAGCCTGACGTTTATTCATTACACTTTTTGGTGTGAAAGGGCTTTTATATTTGCTATAAATAGAACTTCTTATATTAAAAACAATCAAGCCCTGCTCATATTTAAAAAGTAACGCGAAAGTAACGTAACGCATAACGTTCCATAAAAAGTAACTCATTACTTTTAAAAGTAACTTTCCCCAACACAGACCGTGACAGTAAGACTCGCGTTAAATATATAACGTCAAAGGCTGAAATCGCGTTGCTAGTGAACATAAAATATTTCACCACCTCACATTTGATATAAATGCGATTGTTTTAACGTATTAAATACTCAATACCTATTTCGATTCTCCTGACATATTAGACTTCAGCATGATTTGTGTTTTTGGTCAAATGAATAAAAATAAAGTTACTCCTGTAATAAGATAAATACAAATAAATAGATTTATGTATACCTAATAGCGAATCCTTATTTTGCTACGTATATATTGCAAAAAGAGTTTGTTTGAAGTCAAGAAAAACGTAAACAATAGCAGCTAAGCTAAGCCCGTGAACTTCAGCACACATTCTAATAACTTTTTTTAACAGTAATAACTTTTTATATTTTAGATCGTGTTAAATCAAATAAAAAAGTATTAAAGGCGAAATAATGTAATTAAAAAGGTTAGATACTGGATTATAATATGTTTTAGCATACCCTTGTCTCACGCGACCGTTGGCTCAATGCTACACTTGTAAGTTTTCAAAGAAATACTTTTAAATAACTCACTTTGATTGCGCTTCGTCTAAACTTTGGTCGGTAATCGTCATGATCTGTTGCAGGATATCGCCAATGTCTCGGCGGCTGTCGTGTCCATTTTCGGTGCCTTCGAGGCCCGCGGGGTCTCCTTCGGGGCGGTGTCGAGAAGGCGGGTGCACCGGGTTAAGGGGATGCATTCCAGGGTGGACGTTCAACCCGAGACCGCGGCTTATCCTGAGCAGTACATTTATCTAGATGAGTGTGTGTGTGTGTGTGTGTGTGTGTCCATGCATCACCACGCTGGAGTCCCCTAGCGATTGGCACATAAAAAACGTGCCCTTGCATGGAAATAGACATTCTGCGAATGCAAAAGTCAAGATATGAGTACATTGTGATCACGCAGTCTGTTGCATGGGTCAAAAACAGTATGAAAACACACAGAGGTGAAATTAAATGAAACCTCATCTAACCAAGTCCATGAAACGTGGATTTATGCTTCCAGGAAAATGTAGCCTAAATGCACAAATATGGAGAACTTCAGGGTCTTTGTGAATAAATCTCCCAAAACATGTCAGGAACGTGTTCAGTTTGCATTTCATTCTGAAATCTAAAGGGAAAAAATACCGAAATAGATTAAAAGTAAATGTGATCATGCTTTAATGTATGCCAATTTAAAGAAGAAGAAAAAAATATTAGAGTAATGATATGATATGAATTATAAGTGGAATTAAAAATGTATTCAAAAAAGTACAACATCCAGATGATTTAGATGGGAATGGTAGAAACTGGCTTAAGATAATATAAAATAATCCTCTTGAAATAAGTTTATTCATTTTCTTATTTATTCATTAATTTATTTGTTTGTTTGTTTTAAGGGTGAAATGGGAACTCTGGTCATGTTCTTGACCATTTTCATGATATTCACTCTTTTATTAAGGCACAGTTTTACTTCTGAATTATGAAATGTGATATTCTTGCATGCACTGAGTTGCTCAACATATACAAAATTCCTCTCTGCAAGGGCATAGTTTACATGTCATCATGTCACGGCCTGGAGGCTTTAGGTCTGCAGTATAATCAACAGCGGGAGAAACAGGACATGTTTCTTGGTGCTAAATGGAACGTGAATGTCAATTATCTTATTTTCACTTCTAGTCGCTTAATTGTCTTCTCCTCTATGCTCAAGTCTTGTTCTCTATCACCAAGTCGAACTTCTCGTTTTGCTGGTAGTCAACAGGAAATCTGCAAAACCACAGACTGTGTTGAACAAACAGGCCGCCAGTTTCAACATGCAAGACTTTCAAAGCTGTTGAGCGTCAGCACACATTTCCCATACGTACGATTATAAAATAGCTTAGCATTTGAATAAAAGGGGGTTTAAACGGAGCAGATTGTATCATGCACTTCTACAGAGCATTTCTATACATAAACCTATTCCACTAGATAAACTGAAACGGGCCAGATAAATAGGGGTGGATCAGGGCCATAAGAGAGGAACAGGAAGAGACAGAGCAAGCAGACTGTGAAGCAGTGAAGTTGTCGATGCATCGTGTCAGCTTTAAGCTCTTTTCAGATTCGTTTGTGAGAAACACTCAAAGTTTAGCCGAGATATGTGGGAGTTAATGCATGTTCGTACACGGAGGTGAGATGCATGTGGGCTTTACTTGACATTCCGCTGAGAGGACCTCATTTTAACTCGTCTAAGATTGAGAAGGTAAGCAGGGCCGTAAAATGTCACCCACTATCTAAATCAAAATAAGTACAGTTACATGTTATAACTATATTATAGTAACTAGCCTATGTTGTGCGCTGAAAACGTCTGATCTAAGATTAGTTGTCATATGTCACGTTCTACTACAGACTACGCTAGATAAAAAAGTGGCATTGTAAATGATAAGCATACTTTAGATATATATGCTGCTGATTACATGCATGCCTGTTCAGTGTCTCGACTTGTTCAATACATAGAAATGAGGGATCTCTAACTTCATTCTTTTTATAGGCTCTCGTATTTTCTTCCACTGAGGGCTCAGCAGAAGCTACGATGAACTGCTCCGAGGTCAAAGTTGAAACCTCGGTGGACAAACAGTTGGACCCTCTTCTCATCCTCGAAGAGGGGGATGAACCTTCGGATGTGATAAACAACATAGAGAGAGGAAGGACCGTACTGAGAGTTAGGACAGCTGAAGAAAACACAAAGGATGACATTACAGAAGCCACAGAGGGAAGTTCACATGATCACAACAATGTCCAAATAGGAAAAGGTGAAAGCGAAGCAATGCAGGCAGAAATAGGTGAGGAGAGGAATGTAACTCTGGAAAGTCAACTAGAAGAGAAGGTGGAAGATCACGCGGGGCGTGAAAATATTGCGAAAACGGACAAGGGATCATCAGTGGGACCAGAGAAGATGCTACAAGCAGAGACTCGAGACAAACCAAGCACTCAAGGAGAAGTAAAACTGCGGCCCAAAGACAGACTCAGCCCTGACGATGCAAAACTAACGGTAACGGTTAATAATTATGCCAAATTTAATAGTGTGTCTAATTGCATTGTGAAGACACCATGAAATGGCTTGACAAGTGCCGGTTTTTTTTTCCCCTGCGTTGATGTATTTCCTATTGAGCTAGGGAATTTTAATTCTAGAAATTTGAATAATTGTGTTATAATAAATTATATTATAATAATTTATTATAATAAATCAATATTTCACTATTTATTATATTAGCATATACACGACTTTCCAGAAGTTTGGTGTTGGAGTTTAATGTTTTTATAAAGTAAAAACTGTAATGTTGTGAAATATTATTTTAGCTATAACTGTTTTCTGTCTGTATATGTTTTAAAATATGATTTATTCCTGTGATCAAAGCTGAATTTTCAGCATCATTACTCCAGTCTTCAGCGTCACATGATCTTCAGAAATCATTCTAATATACTGATTTGCTGCTTTAAGAAACATTTCTGATTGTTATCAATGTTGAAAACTGTTGTGCTGCATCATATTCTGGTGGAAACACTGATACATTTTTTATAGGATTATTTGATGAATAGAAAGTTCAAAAGGACAGCATTTATTTAAAATAGACATTTTATGTAACATTATACATGCCTTTATTGTCACTTTTTTTTTTTTATTTTAATGCACCCTTGCTGAATAAAAGTATTAATGTAATAATAATAATAATAAATAATAAAAAAACCAGTACTGCGTTTGACCAGTACTGTAAATGAGCCTCAAAGCTAACAGACATGGACTAATATTATTTAAAAAGCTTCACATAATGACACTGATTGTTACTTTAGTTGTCATGGTATTACATGGGATTATTTTCTTTTAAAAGGAATTTACAAAAGTTTAGTCCAGAAATGTGCAAACTGACACATCCCATTATTCATTAAGAATTTAAAGCCAACGTTATAAAGTGTTCGCAACTTCTGTAATATTTCTAATATTATAAAACAGATAGTTCCGGTCCTTGATTCTGATTGGTTGAGCCACGTTCGAAGCTGTTGTAAATTACTCTAGAAATATACACCTTTGTTTACTTCTGTGTGTTGCAACCACAACCGATTCTGAGGAACTACATTGTTTGGTGGAAGAATACTGTTTTTATTAATATCATCACACTTTATTTGCTCTCTTTTATTTTGCGAAACCTTACTACGTATATGGAATAACCATTTTATAAAAGCAATAAGCCCCGTGAAGCCGTGGTTTACAGTGAATTTATAACAGCTAAGGGGGTTTTAGGCACTCGTGTCGTACCTAACAACGCCCCTTAGCTGTTATAAATTCACTGTAAACCACAGCTTCTTGGGGCTTATTGCTTTATTCTAATATTTCTAATATATATATGTAATATTCTTATGTAAACATGTATGCGTGAAAAATTATATTCATCAAGAAAAGGGCCTTGATTTGATCCTTCAGGAACTGATTGTGTTGAGGAGACGATGTTACTTTTCTAAGCGATCTGACTTTTGGAAATTAAGCCATATCTAGTCGCTTATGGATGTACTCTTTTGAATTAAAGGGATAGTTCACCTAAAAATGAAAATTCTGTCACCATTTATTCATCCTCGTGTCATTTCAAACGAGCTTCTTTCTTCTGTTGAACATGAAAGAAAATACATTTTGAAGTATATTGGTAACCAAACAGTTGGCGGAAGCCAAAAAATACAATGGAATACTATGTTTGGTTACCACCGTTCTTCAGAATATATCTTCTTTTGTGTTCAGCAGAAGACAGAAACTCATACAGGTTTGGAACAACAAATGAACTGAATTTTGGGTGAAAGGATTTGATATGATAATGTGCTCAGGTTCACAGGATGTCTCCAGATTTCCCAGACGCTTTGTGTGAGCTGTTGTTCGCGTTACAAGAGGGCCGGCGGCTCAATGACCAGCGCTGCTCGTTCCGTCTGGAGCACCGCAGGAGGTGTTACTCAGAGCCCAGCACACCTCGCCACAGCCAGAGAGGTGAGGAGACACAATCTGAACGCATTTCCTCACCTAAATCACAGACAATAACGCGACACACAGGACTCTCGTGAACCGTGTCTTTCCATACAGTGGTGTTCTCCTCCATGACGTCCCTGCAGAAGGAGGAGTTCTTCGATTTGTTGGTGACCTCTCAGGGTCGTCGACTGGATGAGCAGCGAGCAGAGCTCCAGAACGCTCCCTCTGCCGCCCCACCTCCGCGGCCCAAAGCCAAGCAAAGGAAGAGCAGCTGCAAGATCCCAGAGGTCACCCGGACCGTTCCCACACAAGCACCCAAAGAGGACTTTTACAACATGATCGTCAACTCACAAGTGAGCGCTGTTTGGCTCTGCTGGAATAGACACATGTGACCCAGTCTGTAACCGGCATGTTTGTCTTTGTGTCAGGAAACTTTTCTTTTCTTTTCACTGGGGGTTTTCAAACCTGTTGATGCCAAGGTCCGCAAATATGATGATCCTCTTATGAGGAACCCCATTCCAAATATATTACATAGGGAGCTGTATATGTGCAAAACGACAGTTAAACTGTGTGAGAAAAATAGTAAACATGATTTTAGAATTTTTTTTTTCCAAACATAAATAACTGTTTGTTTGTTTTGAATTAATTCATTTGTTTGTTTGTTTTTATTTCTTGCCATTAAAAACTCAAAAGGTACAAAAAGACCATAATTAATATTCTGGTCAGTACTGTCAAATCAGTAAAGGTTTTTTAAATTAAAAATT